TTGGTTTAGCTGTGTGCCATTTACTGACAATCAGGAGTTACTGGCTGGATCATGGGACCAGCGTGTGGCAGGGAATTCTGGAAAGAGAAATGGCTCCTCTACCTCCACTACCAAACTAGCCTTTCTGTTTCTCCCAGTCAAGTGGTTGCTGGGGCCTATACCTGGCTGCTGTGCAGAAGACCTCACTGTGGACTAGCGGATGTCCCATTGCTGAGAGTCATTGCCGAGTCGTAATGACGCATGGCATTTTTGCCAGAACGGAGTGGTTGAGAGGTGATGGCAGCAAGCCATTGAGATGATAATGGTTATGTTAAGCTGTGTATATTAGACCCCTGCTGTCTGCCTTGGCCAGCTACTTTGGAGTTCTCGTGGGGATTCCTGGAGAGTTCCCATTGGTTGGGGAAGTGCCGGAGGAGGGATTTCTGGTTGGTGGTTGCTGGAGGAGCGCCGTGGGTGGCGTTTGGGAGAGTTCCCGGGGAGCGTGTGTGAAGTGTGCTGGTGGAGTTCAGAAATAAAGTTTGTTCCTGCTTGAGCCGCTCGTGATTTGTGCCCAGCCAGACTGCGGCATCCCATGGGGAAAGCTGGTGTGAGACTTTGTCTCCTGATGCTAGACACTCACCTGAGGCAGTTGGAAACTGAGGGTCCTGGAGTAGATGGTAAAGTGGAGGCTCCTGAGAAGAGCTTGGCCCCCAGAGATCTGGGAACGCTCCTTTCCCTCAACTGCCTTGGAAGATCCGTGCTACGTCAAAGTTCTCTCCTTCATGAATAGCATTTATAGAGAGACTCGGTTCTCAAGAAGAAAACTTCTTCATGAGTTGTGAACTGAAGCGAGAAAAGGCTCAGGGAGTCAGTTCTCTCAGCTGTTTTCCCCCACCCCCAACCAAAGTTTTCAATTGGCAGAAAAAAAAATATTGCTCTTTGGTTAAAAAGAAAATTTAAGAATCTTTGTGACCCAAGCATACCTCTTAACGGCTTCCTTTAAGCTATAGTCAGGACGTTCATGTGTTTGGTACCAACCTAGCTTGCTGAGGAAGCCTGTCCTTAGTTCTGACTCGGCTGTGGATGCTTTATTCTTATACACAGCAGCCCCCACCAAGCCCTTCTCACATAGGTCTTACTCCATTGACTCAGCCATCGGGGTGCTGGAGGTGTGGGTGTTGGACCTCATTCTAATTACTGATTCAAGGACCTGCACAGCAGGTTTCCATGTTTATGAAATAGTGATGAGATAAATAATTCTTGCACTAGACAATTCATTTCTCTGAACTGGAAACAAAGGAGGAAGTTGTTCTCAAACATGCGTTCAAGCCAAACCAGGGAAAACTATTTACATGGCATGTATATTGTGTTAGGTACAAGTCATCCAGAGGTGCTCAGGTTATATGCAAATACTACACCATTATAAATAAAGGACTGGATCGTCTGCAGGTTTTGGTATCTGCAAGGGGGTTCTGGAATCAACCCCTGTAGATGGTTGTATTTTCTTTTTTTAAAAAAGAAACTGTTATTGAACTGAGGGGAGATTTCATTATATTGACGACTTTCAACTCCTGTCTGATTCAATAAAATCACTGAAGGATAAGACAAGTTTCTTTTGTTGAGGTGCCAAAGCTATTGTCCCACGGGAGATAGTTTTGTAAAACAGCCTTATAAAAACAAATCTGAATATTGAGGAAAGTGAAAAGGTAAAATAAACATGAGTGCAGGCTTTCTTTTAACTGTGGAACCTTCTTTTAATTTCAAAACAAGGATATCTTTGCCATTACATATGCGTACCATCTATAAACTCTAAAAAGCATAATTAAACCACATTATTTTATTACAAATGAAAAATATACATAACCATTTAAAAGTTATAAACTTCCTAAAATAAACATTATTTATAAACATTTAAAAATATACCATTTCATGAACATAATTTATGTAAAATATAATGAGGACATTTCATATATATTCAAATAAATTATTTTTTCACAAAGCTTTGTTGGAAGGTAAAAATAGCATTTAGTTCTGTTTACTGGTGTTTATTAAGAAAAATTAAATGTTTTTGTTGGGTTAATTTTGTACTGGTATTGAGATAGTATAATGCTGGAATGTACTTTCGCTTGTACTTAAAGTGAGTTAATGTGACATATATTGAGAAAAGATAAGGGATTTACAACAACTGGCATTCAGTGTTCCTTACCTCTCTAATAACAAGACTGTGAGAATTAAAATTTTGATTCAAAGAGAACTGAATTTTCTCAAGTGCCTATTATATATTGGACATGATACAAGTGCTTTCCGTGTATTGGCTTAATAGTTTTAAAAATAGGTGTTAACTTGATTTCATGTTGCTAAATCGAAAGGGTTTTTATAAACATTCTGTAGTCTGAACTAAAAATAAAATCATTAACCATTGACATAAGAGTCAATTAGAAGTCAAAATAAAACCGTTAACTTCACAGAACTAGGAAAAGCTTTCAATTTGTCTTGTGCTCACCTAACTTTATAATCTTTAACAACACATGTACTAATATTCATATAATAAATCCTAAGATATCTATATGATGACAATTAAAACATATCTATTGAAATACATACATATATAAAACAACTATAGAAGAATAATATAGTATTAATATAGGAATCCAGCATTTTACTCTTCCATAGATAGTATCTTCTGATTTTGGGAAAGAAATCAATTTTTGTGTTAGATCTGCAGCAATATTTTAATGTTTTTTAGTGCATATGCCCACCATTGATTTTTATAAAGAGAGGTTTTCAAATAGTTCATTGTTTCTCCACATACTCAACACATGAAATTGTTCTCAGTCTTTCTCCTGGGCATTTATGTCGACACCAGTTCATTTTTCAATCCAGGTACACATGGATCCCTGTGTTACAGGGACTTTTGACCTTGGCACAATGTACCAAGGGCAGAATTGGCATTGAAGTGGTCAAGTAACAGGTGACATTTGGTAAATGTCTGAAACTTAAATTCATTAGAGTGGAGTAACACCACAGCCTCGGGTTAAATGTCAAGAAAAATGCTATTAATTTCCTCACCAAGAAGGTGTCCTGGAGAAACCAATAAAGTTTTCAATCTAAAAAGAAGAATGCTAAAATAATTTCTACAATTTTTTCACATATTACCTTGTTTGAAGACACTCTTCATACAAACTGTGTTCATAGTTTATATAGCTGATGTACAGGTAAAGCGAACCAGCAATGCACAGAGTAAACACATTTAGCCTGAAGTATCAACCCATGAATTTTCAAAAATTTAGAATGCCTGGAGTTGTGCTCAACACTAAACTACATTGAAAACTCTAAAGCACTCTAAGACTTTGCAGTCATCCCAGGTCATCACAGTAAATGTCAGTCACAGTTCAGCAGAACTGTGGAAATGCTGAAGTCAGTTTAATAGAATTCTGAAAAACACAGGTTACTATTATCACCCTGGGTATGCTTGAGCTGGCTCAAAAACGAAAAACAAAACTGATAATGTTTGATGTTAGGGAAGAAAAAAAAAATCCAGTCAACCTAAAATTTTCTTTTCAAATGCAACTTTTTGATCAAGATTTTTGTTCTGTTTTCAGAGAAATAAGTTTAGTCTAGAACTAAGATAGGGAATGTCTTTTCAATACAGCAAGAGTAAGGGGAAATCTGTCTATAAACACTAATGACATCCAAAAACTTATTTTTGCCTAGAATCTGGAATGAGATAGAAAAATTGTATGGAAGTTTTAATATGCAGAAGATATTCCCTGTAGTAGCTTTTGAGGTCTTCATAATTTTCAAGGAAGTTCACTCTCTCTCCTGCTCTCCCCAAATGCTTTTCTTTCTTTCTTTCTTTTTTTTTTTTACTGTTTCTTATTTATTTATTTATATATAAATAGTGGAATGCATTACAACTCTTTCTACATATATAGAGCTCAATTTTTCATGTCTCTGGCTGTATACATAGTATATTCACACAAGTTCATGTCCTCATACATGTACTTTGTAATGACCATCATATTCCACCATCATTAATTACCCCATGCCCCCTCCTTTCCCCTCCCACCCCTCTGCCCTATCTAGAGTTCATCTATTCCTCCCACGCTCCCTCTCCCTATCCCACTATGAATCAGCCTCCTTATATCAAAGAAAACATTCGGCATTTGGTTTTTGGGGATTGGCTAACTTCACTTAGCATTATCTTCTCTAACCCCATCAATAAGCTGCATGGAAAACATGGTCAGGATGAATTTAGCAGAAAAAGACAGTCTGGCACTTGTTGTGGTAGGATAGGTCTATTTTGAGAAGTTAGTAACTGATTACAATTTCCTTATTAAGGGTGAAAATAAAATTTCAAGAGAATCATTAGCATAATTTCTTCCAATTTTTCAAAAAGATTTTTCTAGTTGTTTTAAAACAGTCTATGGAAAACTTACCTTTTAGAGATAAAACGTTAGTAAAAAAAAAAAAAAAGGCACAGTATGATCCTAAAATAACATAGATTTTACCAAAAAAAAATCTCTTTGTCAATAAGAAATATAACCTTTGGAAAAATGATTAAAGAAAGAAATGAAATGAATATAAGTCACTCCAAGGCTGATTTACTTTTACTTCTACAGAAAGTCTATTTTGTCTTATGTCATCGGGGTCTCTGTTAAAAGAACCTATGGCAACAATCATTTCTGTGTTTTTATGAAAAAAGAATAAAACTTGTGTTTCCTTTTCCAAAGGTCAAGTATTCTATTCCTTCCTATAGTCTTCCCTCTGTAATTGGTAATGAAGTCATATGATATTTGGAAAAAAATTGTAATTCATAAACCCTTCATGGGAGTGAGGGTGTTTTGTACATTTTAGCTTAGGAAGGAATGGAGTCCAAAGCAGGCCTCTTTTTTTTCTTTAACCCTTTGCCCATTTGCTCTCTAGTTTTACAAGAAGGAAGTTGCAGAAGGGAGCTCAGAGCACCAGAGTTCTCTCTTCTCAGTTTTAGTAATTTGAGATTATGATTCATCAAAGCCTGGTGATTGGTACTCTGTTTATTAGAACATAGTTAACTTTATGAATTACTGTGAAGCTAAGAATAGTTACCAGAGAAGTGAAGATCCACCTGGCAGAGTCAAATCCATGGTGACCAGAAGAAAAAGATTATTATGAGACAAATATAACTCCTGGACTTCTTTTAGGCTTAAGGGATATTTCAAAGTTTTCAGCAGTGAAAACATGCAGAAATCCTTGGGAGGAATATCAGGTCTTGACTTTCAAATTTCATGGAAGTTGGACTTACATCTAAGGTACCAGAACTTTAGAAACACTAACTTTCCCTGAAGTCCTTTCGAGAGAATAAATCTTCTTTCTCCTCTTCGAGTATCTGATGTTGGTTACAATTTAGGTTTTATGGGGACTCTGATCTTCAGTCTTGCTAAATAAGGTGACATCATCATCATATCCTGGGGTCGAACTTTCTAAGTTCTCTAGTAAAACGTAACTGCTCTCGTTGCCATTTGGAGAAAGAATGTCTTTCTTAGCAGAGGATGTCAGTTCACTCCAGGTAATGTCAGTATTTTTGAAAGCATGTAGAAGGAAAATGCCATTGATAATGGTGAAGAACCCACTCAGGGTCCCGATGATATCTCCAGCATTCATGCCATACCACTCCTGGAATAAGATGGCGGAGCAAGTCACTACCATGGAGGTGAAGAAGACATAATAGATGGGGGTCACCAGAGACGTGTTAAAAGTATCCAGTGCTTTGTTGAGATAGTTAATCTGTGTAGTTACTGAAAGCACAAGTACAGCCAGCAAAACAAAGACCAGGGGATTCTTGTAAACTGGCTTCCATTCTAGTAGTTCTTTGATGGCAATTCCCAGGCCCTTGACAGAAGAAACTGAAAATGCTCCAATCAAAGAACAGACTGATATATAGACCAATATATTGGTCTGTCCTTTCCTGGGGGCCACAATCAAAATCAGCACCAAGGCGATCACAGTTATGATCACAGCAAAGGAAACAAATCCTGTCAGGAAGAGAACAGAATTAGACTTCAGAAAATTTAACAGAATCTATGGTCTTTCTTGTTAGTCCCGAATTTGAGAGCATAGATATTTTAGAAATAGAAGTGAGATTAAATTAAAAGTAGCATCTAATTGCATTGTTCACATTATTTTATAAAGGACTTTTATAAATATATCATTTGAATCTCACCGATAACACTGTGAGGTAGGGCAAGTATGGTCTCTTTGATTTTTATATGGGTAAGAAATGGCAAAACTTTGAGTTTAACGATAAATCTTTTGCCCCTACTCTTCCTCTCTCTCTTTTTCATTGTATAAAGGGGAAGAATGAATACAAAAATGAACTGTGTTCCTTTCAGAAGACTTGTAACAAGCAAAATTTTTTGTACTTCACAACCCACATGAAGACTTGTAGGAAGCCTATTATAATATTGTTACAAATATCATTTGATGAAGAAGGAAAAGGGAGCAGACTTTAAGTGTTTCTTTATGCTGAATCACAGACCTGGATCTCTCAATTTCATTTCCATTTCATGCAAAGAAGTGACTTCCTCTTCTTGTGGGGCATGGATAACCATCACAGTTGACCCCAATATACTTAATATGCAGCCAATTTTCCCATGAATGTTCAAATGCTCATTTAAAAAATAGGAAGACAAGATGGCACTGTTGGGAGAGAAAAAAGCAAAATCACTAGAGTTGAATTGCCTTTTGATTCTGTAGTAGCTCAGAATTCCAGTCAATACCTGCCACTCTGTATTCCAGTAAGTTGGCTTGAAACATACTAAATGACACTGAAAAATCTGGGTTAGTTTTAAACTCAGAAGTGACGGTCAATTAATTCTGCTTTGTTGCTTTTATATCTGAAGAGTTATCACAGACTTTTATATTCCTGTCAACATCCCTGACCTTCTAAGAGTTCCGATCAATTCATTTTCAATTGTAACATCTCCTGTAAAGCCAAGCAAAGCCAAAGGTCTTTTATGTCTTACTGGCACTATACAGATTGAATATCCCTATCTGAAATACTTAAGAATAGAAATGCTTCCAATTCTACTTATTTCCATATTTTGGAATCTTGCATATACGAAATGAGATCTCTTGGGGGAGGAGACCCAAATCTAAACATAAAATTCATTTGTGTTCCATATATATCTAGTATGCATAGGCTGGAGGGAATTTTATACAATATTCTGGGTGTGCCTACATTTTTACTGCAACCCATCTGATGAGGTCACATGTGGAATTTTCCACTTGTGGCATCATGTCCATGCTTGAAAAGTTTCAAATTCTGGAGCATTGTGGATTCTGGATTTTTTGGACTAAAGATGCTCAACCAGTACACTTAAATTATATGTGCCCATGAAAATTTCAAAGAAGGATATATATTAAGAAGAATTACTCTGCTTAGGGCTGATATGTAGCTAGTAAGCACTAGTACAACGTGGAGATTGTAAAAATATTGAAATACTTCCTTATTACCTGCTACTGCCTTAGCACTTTCACCCAGCCAATACTCTCAATGCTTTAATTGTTATTAGTGTCTTGACCTCAGGAAGCTTCAGATTGGCACTACTATGATGATATTAGAGTATGCCATCCTGTTGCTCCACTAGTAGGCCTAATGGGGGCTTCAGCATGTCAGTCTCCTTCCTCTGACGCTCCAGCACTTGCACAAATGAAATTAATGGTGCCCATCTTCTTTCTCCCAAGCCCATGGGCAAATACTAGGCTTGCCTAGAGTCTCCCTCATGTGGCCACTTGTGGGACTGCAACCCCAGTGAAAACATTAGACCAGTGTTTTAAGTGCTGTATGTGTATTAACTCTTAATTGTCGTACAACAATCCATTAAAGACGGTGAAGATAAATGTCGAGGCCAAATCATAAATTTTATAGTAAATGTTGATAATGAATGAAAATGAAATGATAGTTATGAAATAAAAGAGTGTATGGGCTCACTGGATCCATTCATTTGGGATCATAATACAGATCACCTTAGAAACATCAGATCCACATACTACAAAAGATAAAAATCATTCCTGTTTCCAGCACAAAAAGAATATACCAGGTCTACAAACAAAAGTATAAAGCAGACAACACAGCATTTTAGTGAGAATGCTATGCCTTTTAAAGTCTATGCTATGCCCAAATGCTATGCCTTTTAAAGTCCTCTATAGTCATTCACCACTATGACAACAGAAAGAATTAAAAGGACTCTGTAAATGTATTCAGGTCAGAGTTAAAAGAGTAGAAAAATACAAAACTCTGTTAGGCTTCACTGAATCATCACAAAGCAAGATTACTCTCTCATTGTTTTTTAAATAACAATATGATAATCTATTTCTTCCTATTTTTTGGAGTCTTCTCAATTTAATTTGTGATTGCTTTTTGTTTTGTTTTTTTTTTTTAGGCAAGAATGCTTTTCCCCTGGTGATGGGAATCAAATCCAAGGCCTTGCACAGTGTTCTACTTTCAACTACATCCACAGTCCAAGAAAAATCATTTATTTAATCCATATTTTACAAATGAGGAAACTAAGATTAAATGACTTGTTCAAAGCTTCTCTGGGGCCCCAGAAATTATTCTGAGTCTTTTATGCTTTCAGAGCCCAGGTTAGTCTAATCCCTTTTTTTTTTTTTTTGAGGTATATTCAGCAATGTTTCTTATGGTTTGACTGTACCATGTTATTAAATACCTATAGAAGCCAAGCTCCTTATTGCTCACCTACCTTATAAGAACACTCAGAGCTCCCAGTGGGGTGACCAAGGTGGCAGGTGCAAATGCGTAAGCTGCAAAATTTGCAGCCTCTCCTGCTCCCACTAGAAAGCAAGTTGAAGTATTAATATATGAGATGAATTTATTTATCAGAAGAGAAAAACTAATGACTCTCACAAAACAGTGGACTTTCATCTCAAAGACACTCAAAGATCTAGCTAAAACGAATGATTTAATTTTTTTATGGACAGTGGGAAAAGATTAATATTAAGGGAGTCAGATAAACTCAATATACCTGGTGATATAAACTCTACTACTGGTGACAAATGAATACACATTCCAAATGATTTTAAGTAGAATTAATTTTAGTTATTTCAGTCCTGAAAACATATTTGGTCACTCTGATGAAATCTAATAGAGGTGGCTTTGGAATAATCTGAGAGTTATTCCATTTGCTCAAGAACATCTACTTGACATTCTTGAATATCTCTTTGTGGCAAATTAAGAACAACAATGACAACAACAATCTGTAAAATTAGAAGTCTTTGTGGAGAGCTAGTGTCAGCATAGGGGAAAGCTAAGGAATCCCTACTGCAGGCCTATGACATCAGGCCTCTTGAATTACAGATGATCTATAGCAAGTAACAGAAGCTCAGTAGCTCAGGAAGATCCAAGCAGCTGTTTTAAAGTCCTAAGGATGTGCTCCAGAATGTCATCTTTTCCTTATCTGAGGAACTCTAGACTTCCATGAGGCAGGGTGGTGGAAACAATTCCTGGAGTGAGGGAAATCCCTCCTAGAGCTGGGCTCTTGTCTTGGAGCCAAGTTATTCTCACAGATCATAACTGGACACTTGCCCAGAGAATGTAGTATTTCATGCTGGCAAACGACACCAAGCAAATGGTTATTGTGGAGAGATAAAATAACACTACTGCAGACTAGTGCGAGTGCCTACTTTTTCTTTTTCTCTTTCTTTGGCTGCTTTGCTAACCCTTTTCACTCCTTCCCGCAATCTAAAGGAGGATCCTGCATTAAGAAAGCACTATAAACAACTCTAAAATTACAGAGCGATTAGAAGACTATTCTAGCAAAAAAAAACCCAAAAAAACAAAAAACAAATTATGGCATTTTTCTCAGAACACTAAACTTTTTTGGAATACTTTAAATTGCTTATTTTCTCGTCTTTATGGACAGCATTCCAGGAAAACATTGACTCCATGATTAAAGTACCATGTTTGTCACTAGATGCAATCTCTAATGTATACTTTTCTCTCTTAATACCAGCATCAACGTTTTTACATTGTGAGAGTACAATAGTAAATGCAGCCATAAGATAGTCTCCTTCTATTCTCATTCTAAAGTGTGAGTACAGGCTGAGGAGATACAAGAAAGAAAAACAAGAGAATCGTTCACATATCTATCTAGAATCTTCTCAGTATAGTCCTTGTTAACTTTGATTCAACTAAAGTAGGGAAATGGATGTGCAAGAATCTTAAAAACCAAAAGGGTGGCATGCCTGTAATCCCAGTGGCTTGGGAAGATGAGGTAGGAGGATGGGGAGTTCAAAGCCAGCCTCAGCAAAAGCAAGGTGCTAAGCAACTCAGTGAGACCCTGTCTCTAAATAAAATACAAAATAGGGCTGGGGATGTGGCTTAGTGGCTGAGTGCCCCTTAGTTCAATCTCTAGTAACCGCCCCCCCAAAATACCAAAAGGGCTACACAAACTTAAATATGTTTTATTCATCATCCTTTTGGATTCCACGCCCCCACCCCTTTTTAAGGAAATGGACCCAAGTTCCTTCTTACAAGGATCTTGCAAATAATGAACTACTTGAAATATGTTACTTGGTTTGGGGAAATATAGGGAACCATGAAGACTTCTGACTGCAGAAGAAAGTGATTAGTGAGTGGTGTGAAGCTACCATTCATGGTGTCCTTTCTTTGGAGGTTTCAAGCTTGGGATTTAAGAAAGTTCAGAGAAGGCAAGAGCAAGGGTGAAACAGGGGAAGGAGAGGACATTACATTAGCATTTAGAAAGCGAGGACTTCACAACTGCCAAGTCTCCTTTGATCCTAAAAGCAAGTCTGGGAGAAGTTGTGCCAACCACTTTCATCTTCTCCCCCATTTTTTCCAGTGTCAACAGCCAAAGGATCCCTCAATTTATCCATGTTTGGTCCTTGCAAGGAAAATGTACCCATTCCTGAGAAATATGCAGCTAGGATAGTCATGGATTCACATAAGGAGCTGGGAAAATATGGATGGAAAGCACCTCTCTCACTTCGTAAGGAAAAAATAAATCAGAAATTTGTAAGCTTATATTAATATTTCAAATATCACCTTTCCCCTTTGTGTTCCAGGGCAGTATTGAGAGGAGGGGGTGGTGAGTAAAAAATAATCCATATATTACACACATGGATACCCACATCGTAACAGTAATGGTTGTTGTTATTACTATTCTATATAAGGCAATACATTATATCCACACATAACTTTTAGACTTAAATTCCATCCTTGCCAGGAAGAAAAATTAATTTTGAAAAAATTCCATGTAATGGATTTATCATTTTACAAGTAAACACAATTCTCTCCATTAAGAACTTACTTGATAGTAATCCTGCCCACCACACCCATTCCTTGAGGTAAGAATGTCCACCTTGTCCTGGGAAAAACACCAAAAATAAAAATCAGGTTCCAAATTAGAGAAAGAAGGGTAGAACAATTGACAATGGGTAAAGACACTCGATTACTGTTGGAAAAGTCAAAATCTAAAATCTTTGAGCTTACTAACTTGGTCATTTCTAAAGGTCTTTTGAAGCTTTCCATTATATCACTTCATTTTTTTATTTCTACAGAAAGCTTTTGTTTTTGTTTGTTTTGGTAGGAAATTTCAGTCACCAGGTCCATTGCATTTATCTCAGGCAGAGGTATGGACATTGGATGTGATATACTCTGAATATTTTGTTTTGGCCATGGTTTAAATTTAAAACCAAAACATCCTAAATTGTAAATGACGCTGGTTACCTTTTGCGGAAGAGGATGCTTGACATGAAAGCTTTGAAGTCTGGATCAGTCCATAAAAGGAAACAAGCATTAGGCAGATGGACTCCACTTATTCTTTACCTTAGCATAATGAAGCTGAGCTTCTGTCTAAAGCTATATATAAGGACAAAAAACTGTCCTCAAGAATTCAGTCACCTTCCTGCGACCTGAAGGCACTGTTGTATGTTTGCTATAGAAAATGGGATTTTTCTCAATTTTAATTTGCCTAACTCCCTGAATTGGACCTTGATGACTTTGTTATAATTAAACAATACGACATGTTTGCTATAAATTGCAAAGGCAGTTAACCATGGTTATTTAGAATTTTCTCCTTACAAATTTCGCAAATGAAAAAATTAGAATCATCTTACAATATTGAACCTTATTTGCATAGTTAGTGTCTTCTGGGTCCTAGTAAAATAATATTTACTTATGTATGTTTATTGACGATTCACACTTCTTCTGTTTTCTTTTCATTTGCATTTCTGATTTTGTTTCCTGTCTATGAACTTTGCCTATTTTCTGTTAGGGGACTAATTTTCTTGTTGACTGCAAGTCACTGTTTTTATATTATAGAACCTAACTACTTTTTGTCAATAATTTCATAATTCCCCCTTATTGATAAATCATTTGCTCTGGAGGTTCAGCTATGGTATTTTCACTGTGTGCACATGTACTTTTTTCTTTTTCTTTTTTGCCAAACCAGAAAATCTCTTCCTTTACGTAAAATAGGTTCTTTGTCATTTTTATGCTTACAAAAAGGACTTCTTTTAGGTTTTCAAAAAATTATTTTATTTTAAATTTAACCCTAAATGGTCTGGAATTTATTTTGCTGAATAGTATAAAGTAGACCTCTCACATTTTTCTCCTCTGCTTTTTTTCCCACTTGATGTGAATATTCTTAATTTAATAATTCATTTTGCTTACTTGCTGGGAATAATTCATTTTGCTTACTTACTTTTAAAAATCATATATTAGAATTTGATATGTAATTGAGTCCACCTGTAAATTTTCAATAATCTTTTATTACTGTATCTATTTTAATGCTAATACTAAATTGTTTTATATACTAATATAGTATGTTTTTGTTTTTTGAAGGTACAAATATCCTCTCAATAGTACTGTTTCAGAAACTTGTTTGCATAATTTGTACTAATTTATTTTTCCATTTGGACCTTAGAAAAATATTTAATTTAGGACTTACATTTGATGCAAAGGAATAGAAGATTCATGATTTAAAGGATAATCCAGTTGTGCTTATGTAGCATCTGAAATGTCAGTATAAATGGTGGACTAATTCTATTGCTATCCAGTCAGAGATGAAGAAATATTTATCAGGTATCAAATGTTGTGCAAAGGAAGGTTCCTCTCTTGTTCCTCTCTACCACCAATAAACAAGTAAACCTCTTAACAATAAGTAAATAACCAATACACACATAACTCCAAGAAAGGAAACTGTTATGCAAGGATGGAGAGCAGCAGGGGATGCAAGTGGGGAGACCGTCCCAGACAGGATGGTCCAGGATGGCCTTTCCTGGGTAGTGAAATTCAAGCCAAAGTCTGGAGGGTGAGTCAGCTCAGTGGGCAGGGTGCAGAGAGTTCCAGACCAATGAAAAAGACCTCAGGGTGGGAAAGAGGCTGGTCTATTCCACTCTGTGTAGGAGGTCAGAGACTGTCAGGGTGACAGCTGGCTCAATCAAGGACACACAGGCTTAGACAAATGGAGTCAATGATCATGACTATAGCATTGTGGTCCCATGATGGAATCATTTCTATACTTAGAAACTTGAATTCATTATTTGCATGGGTTCCTTACCTGCTCTAGTAACACCCTTATTGGCCAGTTGCAAGAGTCCCTTCTTTTTCAAAATGAAGCTAGAGCCAATAAAAATGCTAGAACATATGGCCAGTAGCAAGCCCACATAAAGATTGTATTTGTTTTCTACATTTGCTGAAATGCTCCAGTTGGTTGTGCTGGAATTCAGGTTTCCGTCAAGGATAGAAGAAGCTTGCAGCTGCGACACATTTGTGATCTCACACCAAGACTGGGAGGAGTTCTGACAGACCACAGATAGCACATAGCCTGGAAAAAGGAAAGAGAAATGTCAACAATAAAAGGGAAACATACTAGTGCTTTCTGCAAGAAACAGAGACTTGAGTGGACAGTATAAAAATACTTTTTTTCTTTCTTTTTTTTTTTTTTTAACTGCAAGTAGGGCAGTACTCAACAGTACAGAACTATAGACATTGTTGATTTGGTTTGAACATGTTCTGAAAAATTATTTAAAATTGTTTAGTTGTCATCATTTAAAAATGAGAGATTTTATATGAAAGTTTGGAATCCTTGTAAGTTGGAAGATCTGGCAATACTTGGGTCTTTGCTCCACCAGATCACAACATGCTGGAGCTGTGAATGGTTGTGTAGAACCAACTTGGCCCCAACAACTCATCCCAGTCTCCCAAAGTCACTTCACTGCTTCACATAACCAGCCTCTCTCTCAGAAAGCAGGGGCTGTGACCCAGGAATATAGGAAAGGGCACAGCAATCTCACTGGTCTATAAATTACCCCATAACAGGATATTCAGTTAACTCATTTGGTGGAGTATGAATTGTGCATTTGAGAAAACATGTGTTAAGGTAGATTTAACTTTGCTTACAACTTTTCCTGAAAAAAAAAATGACTGCTTTTAGGTCTACTAATCCAGCTTCTCCAAAATAAAGCCGAATCTAATAGAAAAAATGAACTAAAAATGAATAGACTTTTTTAAGAATAAGAATCAAATAAACATGCAAAGCCAATGAACCAGACCTATTATTTTAAATGCCTTGAAAATTTGAAGCTAAACACTGAAATACAGCATGAAAAGATTTACTATATATGAGAAATTTTTATAATCTCTTTGCCACTTGAACAAATACTAACAAGGTGATGCTGTCACTAAATGTTCTGTTTTTCAGGTTTTTTTTTTTTCCTTTCAAAAAAAGGAAAATTCCCAGTTTGAGTTACTCTATACAAAAAAAGGGCAAAGGAAGATTATTAAGTATAGTTTTAGAATTGAATGAAGAACTCAGTTTTATGTCTCAAAAATCTGAAGAAGGCATATGAGCCAACAACAAAAGATAGACCAAATAATGTCTTAGCAATAAAACTTCCATAAGTGGATCTGGCATCTCTGGCAAAGTATCATGAAGGCATCTGAATATTACTATAAACAAAGTTAGTAAACAACTATCTGGAAAATGAAAAAATAAATAATTAAATTCAAGGGTTGGATTTTTTGTTTGTTTTGCTTTGTTTTTGCACCAGAGATTGAATCCAGGGGCGTTTAACCACTGAGCCTCATCCCCAACCCTTTTTATACTTTAGTTAGAGACCGGGTCTTGCTAAGTTCATTAAGGCCTTGCTAAATTGCTGAGGCTAGCTTTGAACATGCAGTCCTCCTCTGGGATTACAGGCATGTGCCACCACACTCAGCCTTTAATTTTCTTTTGTAACAGGGTTTCACTAAGTTGCTGAGGCTAGCCTTGAATTTGCAATCCTTATGCCTCAGCCTCCCCAGTAGCTGGGATTACAGGTGTATACCACAGTACCTGGCAAATTCAAGGTTTTCATGACTACTATTTCATAGTAATTTGGAAATTAACTCACTTTACTTAAGAGATACAGAATAAATTCTGAGTCAAAACTTCTAAATATTCATAGCAGCTCAATTCACAGTAGCTAAACTATGGAAGCAAATGTGGAAGATGCCCTTTAATAGATGAATAGATAAAGGAACTGTGGTATCTATACACAATGGAATGTTACTCAGCATTAAAAAAGAATAAAATTATAGCATTTGCAGGTAAATGGACAGAGTTGGAGAATATCATGCTAAGCAAAGTAATTAATATCTAATTAAAATAACGGGGAGGGGAGAGGCATGGGAAAAACGGAGGAACTTTGAGCAAAGGATAGGGTGGTTAGGAAGGGTATATGGGGGCAGCAAAGATGGTGGACTGAGATGGACATCATTACCCTAGGTACAGGTATGACTGCACATATGTTACACTATATCATGTACAACCATAGAAATGTAAAGTTGTGCAGGAATTGTGCACAATGAATCAAAATGCATTCTTCTGTCATGTGTACCTAATTAAAGTAAATTAATCAACTTAGAAAAACAAAAACTTCTAAATACTCAAAGGATAATTAATTATATTTTTTCAGGGATATTCTATAATACTAGAGAATACACATGTAGGTTATTTGTAGTCTTGTTCTGCCCACTGTTCATCTCATTTAAATCTCAGGAATGGAAATGTGTATATTTTTGTTAGTAAGAATTTTGATTACATTCATTCCTGAAAAAACATCTGAATTGGCTTTCCAGTGAATTCCACGGCTGTATTTGTGTCATTTACTACGTAGTTAACATAACCATTTCAAAACTTCCATCTCTGAAACCAGGGTGGGTGGATCTCATTCCAGGGAAACAATATTCCTTCTAAGTTGTTGACATAGCAAAATGTTTCTGACATTTTAGGGGGTGTGGGGGCAGAGGGTGATAAGGGAGAGCAAATCATCTTTGTTGCATTTTCCAAGTTCTCATTTTTAAGTGGCAGACATGAATGTTTTGAGTTTCATGACAGGACAAGTAAAATCTTGTCAGATTGCAGATCCTAATACTTGGATTGCTCCATATTTGGGGCATATGTCAGGCAGAGAGCCCAGAGCAGATGTGACTGAAGGAGGGACGGAGTGAATGGTGGATTGATGGGTGTGCAGTGGCACAGAAAAGAGATGGCAGAAGTAGGATGTGTGGGCAGAGAGTTCAGTGTTTTAGAGGAATCAAAGCTATCTCAAATCAAGGTTGGCTTCTGAAGATCTGAGCAAGCAAAGTCCTATTGCAGGGAGTTTAATCCAGACTTTATTTAGCATAGAAAGACAAAGTCTATTATATTAGTTGTTTATTTTAATAGACAGTTTCAATAGCCCTCTATAGTGACAGGAAATGTAGCTCAGTAGTAGAAAACTTTTTTTTTTTTTTCGTACCAGAGATTGAATCCAGGGGCATTTAACCACTGAGCCACATCCCTAGCCCTTTTTATGTTTCAGTTAGAGTCTTACTAAGTTCCTTAAGGCCTTGCTAAATTGCTGAGGCTGGCTTTAAGTATAATTTTGGAATTGAATTTATACTCCTTTCAGGAGAGAGCACATATAACTTCATTAATTTTATTATTTTTCTCAATATTGAGTAATGATTTGAATGAACAGAGGCCTAAAGGCTGGTACCACATGACTATGGCAAAACTGACATTATAATCTCTCTGATATTGACAAAGCTCTAGTTAAAACTATGGACTTAATCATGGATCTCAGAATGAAATCAGGAGTACTGAGCCAGGTGCTGGTAGAGTGCATATTGCCTGTGTCTTGAGAAAAGCAGAGCTTTGGCAGGACTCTTTCAGCCCCCTCCTGAAACACCACCCTCAAGAACCAGCTAACCCTAAGAGGCCTTTTGTTGTGACATCTGGAACAGGGTTACAAGCTCAGCCACAACCCACTGCAAATCAGGCCCTTGGAGCTGGGACACACTCCAGCCCTGCCCATGATGATGCTATGGTAGACTATTTCCTTCAGAAGTAGCATGAATTTCCCAGGCTGGCATTGAACCAGCAATCGTCCTACCTGATTCTTCTGAGTAGCTGAGATTACAGGTGTACATCTCCATGGATTAAGATTTGTTTTTAAAATATGCTTGGGACCAAATCCAGTGCTTTGCACATTCTAAGAAAGTGCTCTACTACTGAGCTACATCTCCTGTTAATTTCATTTCTTGTAAACAAGCCTGATACTTACATTTTAAATTGAATTTAAGAACTTTTTTGGATAAACTTAGATGATTATGTTTTGATTTTTCCTCTATCATCTCGAGATCGATATTTCGGAATGAAACTTTTTACGCTAATGAAGACTCTTTGATGTGTTTGTAAATAACCATTTTTAAAGAAAATATAGTCTTCTATATAGTTGTATGGGAGTCTGTTTTTTTCAATCTGTTCTTTTGAAAGTTGGGAGTGAATCATTCAAATAAATGGCTATCGGTGTACTTTTCAGACTAACAAATATAAGATTTATCACTACCTTAATTTTTATACTTATTGGATTATTCAATGTCAGTGAATAATCTCTCTCCATTTGAAACTACTGGGTAATAAATAGTAAGGAAATACGTGTCAGTTATAAATAAAAACAATTCAATATACACCAAGTACATCAACTACACAATTTAAGAATTAAAACATTACCCCTCAGAGGTAACAACTATGCTGATTTTCTCTTAAACATTCCTTTGCTTTTAAAATGATTTTTTCTATTTAATACATCAAAACAGTTTAGTTTTACCTCTTTTGTACCTCATAAAAATGAAATTGTGTAGAATGTGACTTCTGGTGACTTGCTTCTTTGAGGGTTCATCATTTTTGATACTTGTGGCTGCAAAGTTTGTTTTTTCTCCCACTATTTTATAGACTTCTACAGTATGATTAACCACAAGTAATTTTTCTATTTTATAACTGGTAGACATTTAGGTAATTTATGATGTTCTGCTTTTACAAAGAGTCTTGCTAACATTCTCGTGTGATGTTGAATCAAAAAATTGATGTTTTTGATCCTACAAAATAGCATTTCATATGGCACAAATTAATATGTGCCTTCTATGAACAGGTGTAATAGTTTATACACATGACTTTAAAATTTGAAAATAAAGAATTTAGATATTCTATAGGACTATATCTTTCCCCACCTTAAGAGCTCTTAAGCAGTTTGACACAATATTTCTACAGACATCTTCATAATTTTGTAGTTTGAACATAATCTATCTTTGCTCCCAGAGTTGTTTACAATCTCATTGACTCAAACAAGTTGCTGTTGGACCAATTCTCAACTTATAGGCACTGATAGCTAGAAGATATTTTAAAGAAACCGAAATTTGGTTTCTAGGATGTCTATGATTGCATCAAACTACATTTAATTTTTTTTGTATTTGTAGATGGATAACATACCTTTATTTTGTTTATTTTTATGCCATGATAAG